GTGAGCCAACACTTCCCCTTTTCACATCTCTTTTTTATTTTCCTTTTTCTCCCTTCCTCGTGTTGTTACACCTCACCACTCCCTGCTGCCACATTCCAGCTTCATCCCCTAACCTGTAGGGTCCCGGGGCCCCCAGGGGTTTCCCGTCGTGTCTCGAGCCACGTCTCTGAGCCACGCTATCGTCTGACACGCTACTTTCACGCTAAGACCGTTCATCAACGATTCCCGCAGAAGTGCGGTTAAATAAAAACGCTGCAGTCTGGGAGTCTGGGTGTTTCATGGTAGTAATTCCTTGACATATTCTAAAGACCAGACAACTAAAAGGCAGGTTTCCAATCGAACCAGGATATACAGAACCTTCTAGAAAAGCAGGCCGCTCCCAAAGAAAACGGCGGCCTGATGCGTACATTGCGACGGCAGGGAGAATGCAGTGGTAAAAAAAAAAGCCATGGGGGAAGTACGATAGCCGGTCAGATTAGTATTGTGAGATTAGTCTGCGGTCAGTTACCGCCAGTAGTTATTTACTATCACGTCTGCTCTGAGAGTCGACTTACAAAACAGTCCAGCGTTCTGTAGCCCCAGAGCGGGTCACATCCCACACCTGCGGAGCAAAGAGCTCTTTGTCTGGATGGACGAGCCGCCGACGATCTTCTAAACATCCCCGACATGAGGAGCTTCTGTCTCCTGAGATCGCACGCAGAGGGAGGGGGCAGGGATGTGCATGTGCTCCTGCATCTGACGCCACCAGTGAGGATTTTCAAGTCTCCCTGTTGGATGTTTAATCTTTGTCTTTGTTTATCGTCTTAGCCATTCCAGACAAAGCCACCGTAGGCCCGATCCTCTCAGCAAACACGTTCGGCAGACAGACTGTTCATTACGGCGTAATCGCTTCCTCTGAGACAGGCACGTCTTTCATTCGTCTTCATTTCAATCTCTTTAATAGACTTTAATAGACTTCTTGGCTACAGCCTGCGAGATGTGAGGCTGGTATGAGGGGAAAAGTGTCGCTTTTATACTTTTTCATTCCAAATTGCTGCCTCTTTACGGCTTTATGGAGGAGACGTGAACAGATCTGGCCTGGGGTTCGAGTCTAAACCAGTCTGCTGCCTGTCTGCTTCCTCGCTAAGGTTACCTCCTCCCCTGTGGGGTCTACAGTGTTACCCAAGAAGAGTGTTGATGTTGGATGATGGAAAAAAAGACACTTGCACAAAACTAAAATGAATTATATTTCCTAGAGACCCCAAGATGTGCCATACAAGAGGAATATAAAGGGCATATTATTCATAATGAATAATACAGGTGGACACAGGTGTCTCTAAATTTCCCACAAGCACTTAGAAGATGGATGGATGGATGGATGGATGAATAAATTGCAAAATTTATTGCAAAAAAAAATTGTCCTGTCCATTTCAGGCCCTATTTACATTGTAGCCACCAGCCTTGATGTGTTTGGTCGCATGTTTGTTTATATGTTTGTTTACACATGGTGCTTTGAGTGTCCGGAGATGTTGGGTAATGAAGTTCAGGCTCGTTTGGGGTGCGGTCGCCAACAAACCAAGCTGATGCTTGTCTGTGAAACCTCAAATTACCGAGGTGCTGGTCCCTCCCCAGAATGAGTGACCCGTTGGACCCCCGCAGTCAGGCCTGCAGACTTCTACACAGCCGGGTGACCAGGTGGCTGCATTTTCCACCCAGTTTCACATTCCTGATATCAGGCTGATATTTGCCGCAGCCTGTAGCTGGCGTCTCTGGATGCTGCAGTTACCCCAGTCCGAGTCGTCTCTGCGGCGGGTACTTAGAATGTGAGACGGTGGATGTGTCTTTCCCCCCTGGTTGGAGGACCGATCCCACTTGCCCTGGGAGAGGCAGCACACTGATGAAAAATGCCACAGACATATAGGACCTTGTTCTGTTCAAAATCTCTCCAGACAGGCAAATTATTTAGGTACATTTTCAAGCAGCTACTCAGTCATCAGCTTCTGCATCAGTCTTTTGGACTTTTTGTGGCAACTCCGACCCCTCACCTGAACAGATACCCGGAGGTGAACTCTGTGTTTCTTCTTTGGTCTTGATGTTCATTCATAAACATATAGACCAGCAGCACGTGCACATTCCTGCCTGTCTGTCGGGGGCCATGTAACTGAAAGGGGCCTCTGTGCCAGCGTGCTGATGCATGTCTATGGCCACAGACAGGTGGGGACACCCCGAACCCCCCCCCCACCCCAACCCCCCAAGCTCCCTCTCTCTCGTTTACCCAGAGCATGCAGGACCCCAGAGCTAAATCACGCACCATTTACTGAAACGTCTGAAAGAATTTTTCACAGACGTGAAAACGGCGACCAGCCCCCGGGCGTCTGGATGGAGAGCTCTATCAAACGAGTCCGTGATCCTGGCAGCTGTGCAGCCGCTGCCGTCTGGTTTTTCCGGAGACCCCCATTTGGCCCAATCTCAGATGATAGCAGTGACTGTCCAGGTCAAAAGGTCGACGTCACTGTTACCTAAGGGCCCGCTAACGATGCCCCGGGCTTGGCCATGCCGTCAGTAGTCACATTCAAAGCCCGTTAATCGCAGAGCCTAATGAATACAGTTCCCTTACTGGTAACCTATAATCCCAGCAGAAACACTACTGATCGAACCTTCAGCACTGTCCTAAACCTATACTGTACTGATAAACTCTCCAGATCTCCAAATGCTACACAGACATTGGGGTAAAAGGCACCGGTAACATATCCAGACTGATTTGCAGGACAGGATGTGGTGAGCAATAATTTACTCTTCAGTGCAGATGTTTTGTGGGAGATCAGCATGTACTGACATCTCGCGGCTTCCACTGGAAAAGGCTCCACTGTGTGCTCTCTTCGTCTGTCTTAGACTGCCCCCTACGGGCCTATAACTGCATTCACAGCTTCACCTTTAATCAGAGTGGGTGAGCGGTGCTGTCACAGGGGTGATCCAGCAAAATTGTCCTTTACTGACATCTGAGTTACTGCCTTTGCCTAAATATTTGATGATTTGAAATATGTTCATATTTATGTGCAGTTTAAGCAGCGTAGCTGGAGGGACCCTATTGCTTTTATTACACAATTAACCATTAAATAACTTATTTGAATGAAAACTAAGAATAGGCATGGAATGTGTTTGGTAGCCTGGTGCCTCAGTGGGTTGCACTATCACTTCACATCATGGGTTCAAGTCCCACCCTTGTCTCCATGTGGGATCTTTCTCGCCATGTTCCACCAGGATTCCTGGTCAGGGTGTGCTCCTTCCTAGGACAGGGTCCAGGGTCATTGCCATCCTGTTCTGAATAAGTAGTTTTAGATAGTGAACTGTTGTTCCCGTTTTTTTTCTCACTGACCTCTAGGGGGTGCTCAAACACTCTTTTTCCCACCACAATAAATTTCCTTTTTGGCAGAAATATGCTAATCTAAATATAGATGACCAGTTTCTTTTTATTCCTTAGATACTCTTCTACCAAACCCAAAGAAGGTTTTCTTAGCATGGTTAAATTCCAAGCTACTGTTTAACGCCCATTTAGAGGTCACCCTGGGACATTTAGTGGTTGGTCATACTGTACGTACGGAGAACAGTCTCTATACTTTGGATGCATGTGATTTGCGTAGGTTGCTCCGATGAATAATAACAGCTTTATTTCTTGCTCTTATTAGCTTCCGTCTCAAATCAGTCTCAAAGGTCTTGCTAAATATAGCAGTAGCAACAATTTAAAGACACAATGAATTCAGCACCGCAGAACAAAGTGAGTATGTCTTATCTTTTTCCATGACCATTGAGAACACAGATGTCAGAGCCCCCGGGGAGTTGGGGAGTGGGGGGTTGGGGGGGGGGGTGTAGCTGGCCAAACAGGAACAGGCTTCTCGTTCATTATGAGTCAGTTCTGCATGGACAGCGTGAAACGGCAGGATCTGGGGCCCTGGCACACAGGCTTCACCGCCGCCCAGGACCAACCTCCCATTCCCATGACCTCATCCATTGGCAGGAAGCGGCATAGGAGAGCGGGAGTTGCCATGGCGACCGGATGGGCCTTGCAGACTATCATCCTGGCTCTTTCTAGATACATATGCAGCACATAGAGGACCCAGCATGGCCCCGGTCACCCACCGCATGGTCGCCTTTAAGCACCTTTGGCTCCAGCTCTGGGTCACAGTATCCGCTGAGCCTTTTCCTGTGGCATCTTTAGTGGTCTAGAGGTTAAAGACCCTGTGACCTTGGAGAGAAACATCTGATACTTTAACGACAGGGACCCGTAAGCCAGGTCACCTCGTCCGTAACGGCTGAGGAACGCTGTCAGAGTTGATGGTCCTTATCTGCTTGTGGGCTGCTTGTGCTGACATAAACCCCTGACTTCAGTGTGTAGCGCCACCTACAGCCAGCTCCCTTTCTTGCAGATTTCAGGATGTGGACCTTTTGTGTGGATAAAGGCTACTTGATGTCTGGATCCGTTAAGAGTATCAGTGTCTCTGCACCATCTTGACAGAAGCCCTTGGTGGACAGGCTGTCAGGCTGACCATGACAGGACCCACATCCTGTTGTTCGTTTCCTGCTGTGGCTCTGATATAAACAGCACTTCCCTCCGATGTCCGGCTGTGAGTGGCTGGACATCCCCATGTACCGTGACCAGACAGGCAGCCATCCAGCCACGTTCTAGCAGGGGGTGGGCATGTGTTTGGCTTGCATTCTTGCACCCCCACCCTCTGAGGACCTGTCAGGAGCAATGGGCTGTGCTTGCCGCTGTCCAGATCCCCAACACAGGTGCCCTATGACCCGAATCGTACTGCCTTAGGATGGGGTCATGTCAACAGCGCCTCAGATGATGGGGGCTTCCCGCCTTACATTATGTTTCATATTGTCCAGCTTCTCGGGCACATACATTACATATGTGGGCCTGTGAAAATGGACAGTGTCTCTTTAAGAATACAGGGAGGGGGCAGGGGAGGAGTGTGTTTGGGTTCTCGACTCACCCCTCCCTCTCGCTCTCTCTCAGTTTCAGATGAAGTTTCTTGTTCGTGTTGAGAGTTTGGTATTTCCTCTCAGATCGCAGGTCCTCCCGGCAAATCTAACGAGCCCCACGCAGAGCTGGACGCCGCTCGGAACAATCCCCCCCCCCCACCCCGCCTGCCCCCCGCGACCGGAGGAGCTCCTTTGCACTCTTCTTTGCACTCCTCTTTGCCCCTACGGGGAGCAGGAAAGCATTTCCAGCTGTGGGAGAGAGGAGGAGCCTGCTGTCTCAGAGGCGCGGAGGAGGATCAGCCATGGGGTAGCACCAGAGGTAGGAGGCGCGGGTGGGGAGCATGGTCGCCTACACCCTGAACCTGCGCGTCTTCTGGCCCCTGGCCGCCGCCGCCGCACTCGCCACGCTGCTGCTCCTCTACGCCTCCTCGCTTGGTGACTCCCCCTCTGTACCAGGCGGCTGCCCCGGCTGGGCCCCGGGCGTCACCCCGCTGGGCCTTGCTCTCGGTCTCGCCATCCTCCTCCTCCTCGCCGGCTGCCGTTCCTCGCGCCCCTGGCCGGCCCGTCCAGGCCCCCCACCTGGTCCCGGGGCCCCATCCAGGGCGGGCCCCGGCAGGAAGGAGCTGCTGGAGGACTTCTACGAGAGGCATGTGCGCCTGTCTCCCCACGTCCTGGGCCACAGCAAGGCACATGTGGCAGAGCTGGTGGGCGAGCTGCTGCGCGCTGGCCGTGCTCACGCCCCCCCGGAGGCCTCGCTGGCGCTACGTGGCGACTTTGTCCAGATTGGCAGCTCCTACGAGGAGCACAAGGTGGCCCGGCCCGACTGCTTCGACATCCTGGTGCCGCTGCGACTCCCACGGGGCCTGAAGCTGGAGCCACACTTCGGCGAGCCGCCGGTGTCCGATCCGGCGCTCTGCAGCCTGGAGACGCCCCGCCGGTCTGAGTGGGCCAGGCGGCACCGGGCCTTCACCGACACCTTCCTGGTGGTGGAGCGGGTGGAGAACCAGGCATACCGACTGGCGACGGGCGCAGTGCTGCGCTGGTTCTACAGTGCGGTGCAGCGCTGCATGTCCGCTGTGCGCTTCCGCTTTGAGCAGCGCTGCGTGCTGGGCTTGGCGCTGCAGGACGACCGCGTGATCCTGCGCCTCACGCCGCGCTCCGACTACGTCTGCTGCCACATCTCCATGTCCGTGCGGCTAATCCCCGCCCTGCCGGCCGGAGACGGTGCCCACTGGGTGGCGGCCTCCATGTGTGCCGGCACCCCCCTATGGACAGCCTACCTGCCGCGGCAGGAGCAGCGGTTGCTTGGGTGGCTAAAAGGCCGGCTGCCCCCCGCATCCTGCCACCTGAAGTGCCTGCAGATGGCGAAGGCCGTGAGGGACCTGGGCGGCCAGGTGCTGGGCAGCCGTGATGGCGATGACTGGCGGCTCATCCTCTCCTCCTATTCGCTGAAGATGGCGTGGCTCCGCCTGCTCCTAACCACGCCCCCTGAGGCCTGGGAGGAGGGTCGCCTGGTAGAGCGACTGGAAGACCTTCTGCGGTGCGTGCGGGATGGGCTGCAGCGCCGCAGCCTGGCTCACCTCTTCCTGGGGGGCGATGCCACACTGCTGCCCGACTTCCTTTCTGTGCCCCGGCCCGTTAGAGGCACGGCGCCCTCCGACTTGTGGGCGCGGTTCAGCCCAGCCACCCTGGACCTAGTATCTGCCCGGCTGGCCTACTCCTGGACAAATCTACACCGCCTCATTCGACTGGGCCGCCCCCAGCGGACCAGCAGTTCCGGGGGGGTCCCCTGCAAGCACGTAGATTCAGAGTGACCCGGGACGGGCAGCGAAATACCCAGATTCATGCCACAGCACCGCATGATGGGGAGGAGCACATCTTCTGGTACTGGAGCCTCTGGCCCAACTGACTGTAACAGAGCCCATATCATGGTACAAAAAAGCCAAGTTGCCTTTTATTTGTCTCGGTTTCTGTCATCCAAGGGCTAATACAATAATGCTTAGGTGTTAAAAGCTTTAAAACAGAAATAATTTATTTAAACCAAAGGGATCTCATGGTGTAGAAGCTGTAACCTTGTGTTCGTCTGTGTTTCCCACTCCGTGAATCATTCCAGGGTCCAAAGCTGTGGGGATTTTTTTGTACTTGAAGTGGGAAATGGGCTGTGGAACTTTCCGGCATCCTGGTCCGATAGCGGCATTCCCGTGACGGGAGATTTTGGGATGCAGGGGGCGTGAAGACCGGAGGGGGGAGGCAGGGGGATGTAATCTCAAGGCAGCACGGATGGGGGCCGAGCGCAGCCACAGTGCGGCCGCATGTCACGGTACAAGAAGGCAACCAGAGCCGCCGACAAACTGAAGCGACACGTAGTGACGGATTCAGCCGACATGCCGAGGAGGAGCCGGGGGGGCGGGAGGGAGGCCGTGACGCTGAGTCTGCCCGCCGTGTGACGCGGGACAGGAGTGCGATGAGTCAGGGTGCGTAAGCGGGCTGCTGGTTCCCAGCACGTGGGTCTGCTGTCGTTTAGGACAGAATGTGAGGCAACCTGGGATAGTTTGCGCGCTCCCTGAGGAGCAGGACTTTGCATGTCTGAGTAAACATGCGAACATTGTGTCTCAGGCTGAGGTCACATGACCCGAGGACATGATTCCCATGAATCACTGGGGCGTGGCCACTTGCAGAATATAAACTGTTTTATTGCTTCAGTTCGACTGTGAATATGTTCTGTAAATCGGCCTGATTTGCACTCCATGTGCAAACTCATGTATCCCCCCCCCCCCCAGGAAGGACCTCCAGGGTACATCGTTATGGAGACAGGAAGGGGCAGGGATCTTATTGACTTTTTTGCATGAGGGTACTAGCAGAAAGCCTTTTAGGAACGCAGCAATCACTTGAGCAGTGGTCCAGACCTGCTCAGTCCCGTTAAGCAGGGCGTAGGGCACCAGTGTCAGCGCCCTGTACTGCAGCCGCCATTTCTGCTCTGTCTATTTCAGGACAGCCATTTCACCGCGAGCAGCCCGTTGACATGCAGTCGCGCTACTTGCTCCAGCTACCCGTTGCCTGCCTGAGGGAAATTCCCAGTGACTCCACCTGGCTAATCGGGGATATTCGCTATTGGTAAATAAGACGATTAGATTAGCAGCATGTCTTTACTTTATCCTGATATCCTGATATTCGGTGTTGGAATACCACTTGGAACAGCTGTGTAGAAATACAGTTTCCCCCAGGCATCATGGAGGAGAGACAGGACCCATTTCAGCTATTAGGGTTAGTGGTCTTGGGCTGTTCATCG